TACAACTTAATGCTGAACCTGAAACTTCTAGAAGAAGAACAAATCAAGCCCAAGCTGGTATGAGTGAGAAAATTATAAAGATCAGAGCAGAAATTAATACAATGGAGACTAAGAAAATAACATAAGGAATCAATGAATTGAAGAGTTGGTTCTTTGAAAGATTAAATAGAATTGATAAGCTCTTAGCCAACCTTATTAAGAAAGGGAAGACTCAAATCCATGCAATTAGAATGAAAATGGTGAAATTATAATGGATCCTAGAGAAATTCAGAAGATCATCAATATCTACTTCAAGAATCTTTATTCTAATAAGATGAAAACCAAAAAATGGACAGATTTCTAGATACATATGAATGAAACTGAATCAAGGAAATATAAAAATTGTAAATAGCTCAATATCAGTCAATGAAATTAAAGATAAAACTAAAAACTTACCATGAAAAACCTAGGTCCTGGTGGATTCAGTGTTGAATTCTACGAGAAATTTAGAGAAGATCTGATGCCACTACCACTCAAACACTTTACTTAAATTAAAAGGGAAGCAATACTCCCAAAATCATTCCTGGAAATCCAACACCCATTCATGATAAAAACCTTACAGGGAAAATTGGAATAGATGGTCTATATTTTAATCTAATAAAAGACATCTATGACAAACCAACAGTCAACATCCTATTAAATGAACAAAAATTGAAAGCTTTCACTATAAAACCAGGAACCAGACAAGGATGTCCACTGTCACTACTCTTATTCAATGTAGTTCTGGAACCATTAGCCAGAGCAATTAGACAAGGGAAAGAAACAAAAGGAATAAATATAGGGAAGAAAGAAGTTAAACTGTCATTATATGTAGATGTCATGTTACTCTACATAGAAGACCTGAAAAACCTCACCAAAAGACTTCTAGATTTAATAACTAAATTTAGTTGCATAGCTGGACACAAAACCAACACTCAAAAACCTATAGTATTCTTGTACACAAATAGCAAACTCTGAGAGAGAAATTAGGGAAATAATACCTTTCACAATAGCATCTGAAAAATGATACACCTAGGAATCAATCTAATGAAGGAAGTGAAAGACCTCTACATTGAAAACTACAATTTTCTGAAAAAGGAGCTAGAAGAGGAAATCAGAAAATGGAAAGACATCCATTGCTCCTGAGTAGGAATAACAAATAGAATGAAAATGGCCATACTTCCAAAATTGATATACAGATTTAATGCAATCCTGATCAAAATTCCAACAGCATATCTCACAGAATTAGAAAAAAACAACCCTGAAGTTCATTTGGCACAAGAAGAGACCTAGAATAGCAAAAGCATTTCTGGGCAACAAAGGTAAGGCAGGGGTCATCACGATCCCTGATTTGAAATTATACTACAAAGCAACTGTGATAAAAATAGCATAGTACTGGCAAAATAGCATAGTAAATAGCATAGTCTTTGTCTATACCAATGTCTTCAAGAGAAGAGGTTGAACTCTTGAAGACATTGGTATAGGCAAAGACTTTATGAATGAAACCCTGAATGCACAGGAACTATCACAAAGAATCGGCAACTGGGATCTCATCTTATTAAGAAGTTTTTGCATAGCAAAAGAAACCACCAATGTGGGAGTGTACACTGGTACAGCCACTGTGGAAATTAGTGTGGAGATTTCTCAAAAAAACTAGGATTGCAGGTCCCATTCAACCTGGCTATTTCCCTTCTAGGTATCTTCCCAGAAGAATTAAAATTGTCATAACACAGTGATATATGTGCACCTATATTTATAGCAGCACAATTTGTAACAGCTAAATCTTGGAAACAACCCAGATGTCTATCAGCTGAAGAACAGATAAAAAACTGTGTTTTTTTTTAATATAATGGAGTACTACTCAGCCATAACAAAGCATAAAATGGAGTCTTTTATAGGTAAATAGATGCAACTTGAGACCATACTGATAAGGGAAATAAATCAGACCCATATGTGTAAACACTGTATTGGCTCACTATTGTGAAAAAATGAACAAGTAAATAAGATCCAAAATATACAATAGATATTGCAAATTGGGAAGAAACTATTCAAAAGAAAAGACAAACTTATGGGGAAAGGGGAAATGGGAAATGAAGAAAAAAAGTACATGTATTTACAAGATAGTTAAGATTGTTACATAGCCGGTTTCTCTCAGTTCATTAAAAAGAACTAATGTCTTTTGTCCTAATATTGTATAGACAATGCATATATTGTCCACTCTGAATAACTACTAAGAAGACAACAATACACACTGTATCAACTATTGTAACTGTCCTAATAACTTGTTTTGAAACTTGGTTTCATTGTTCTGTTTATCTATTTTTAAAAGGAAGGAACAACTGCAATGTGGGAAAGGAGAAAAATAGAAGATAACAATATGTAACATAACAACCATTGTTAATTTCCTATCATCTTGCTTTGAAATTCTGTATTGTTTTTATTATTTTGTTTTTGTTTTTCTTATTCTCTTTAAAATAAAAAAAGAAAGAAACCACCAACAGAGTGAAGAGACAACCCACAGTGTGGGAAAATGTTTTGCTAGCTGTACCTCAGACAAGGGATGCATATCTAGAATATATAAAGAACTAAAATAAATCAACCATCCAAAATTAAAGACCCAGTCAAAAAATGGGCATCTGAAATGAATAGACATTTCCCTTATGAAGAAGTAGAAAGAGGAAATAAATATATGAAAAAATGTTCAACATCACAGGTCATTCAAGAGATGCAAATTAAAACAACACTGAGATTCCATCTTACTCCAGAAAGAATGGCTGTTATTAAGAAATCAACCAATAACCAACGCTAGTGGGGCTGCGGGGAAGAAGAAACGCTTCTCCACTGTTGGTGGGAGTGTAGACTGGTGCAACCGCTTTGGAAATAAGTATAGAGATTCCTCAAAAAACTAAAACTAGAGGCTCCATTTGATCCACTTATTCCCCTTCTTCGTATCTTCCTGAAAGAATTAAAAAATCACATCTTGGTGATATATGCACACCCATGTTTATAGTAGCACAGTTTGTAATAGCCAAATCTTAGAAACAGCCAAAATGACTCTCAATTGATAAATGGATAAAGAAGATGTGGTTTATTATACCATGGAGTACTACTCTGCCAGAAAGAAGGATAACCTTGAGACACTTCTAGCTAAATGGATGCACCTAGAGACCATACTTTTAAGTGAAATATATTGGACACACATGTTCAAACATCACATTTTCTCTGGTGTGAGAAACCTGAAGTGTAAATAAGGACCCAAATGTATAATAGGTACAGTACCGGGAAATGGGAAGCAATGTTCAAATGAGAGGGGGAACAAGGGATAGGGAAGGAAAGAAAGGACAAGAAATAAACAGAATAGAAGGACAAAATGGAAACAAACCTTTTGTAAATAAAGAGGGGAAAGAAGTTGAAGGGAGAGGAAGGAATGGGAAAAAAGAAGCAGCAAGATATGCCATGTACAGAAAAAAAAAGATATACCACATAGAGGTTCAAATTCCCTGTGATGAATGTTATCATTATGTGTATCTAAAGTGTACCAATAAAATAAAAAGAAAGAAAACCCACTCACCAAACCAAAATGCATCAGTGAGGGTTGTATATAGTGTGATGCAACTGGGAAAACTGGTTTTATGCAGAGACTGACCTCAATCACTTCCAAAATTGTGAGGGGGTCAAAAGGCTTTGGGACGTAGCTGAGAGATTGTCAGAAGTGGGTATGAAATTGAGTGCTAATTTCAGAAGTCAGAGAGTAGTAGGAACTAGCAAGCAAAATCGTTATGGTTTGAATCTAGGACCACCCTCCAAAGTCTCATGTGTTCAGAGATGGGGCTTTAGGGTCATGGCGTGCTGTTAGGAAGCATGGATAGTGTGAAGTGAGTCCCTGGGTGTGGAAGATGTATTGCCCTCTCTCACTTCTACCTTCTGTTTTTGCTTCTTGTCTGCCTTGGGCTGAGCGACTTTGCTTTGCCACATTCTTCCACCACTCTCTCTCTTTGCCTGGGAGCCAGATGACTATGGACTGATCTTGAAGCGAAATATACCTCTAGTTCTTTACGTTGTGGGTGTTGGGAATTTTGTCTTGGTGTAACAAGAAAGAGCTATCAAACAATTAAATTCCACATCTATCCTACTTGTATTTGCAGTAATCCCTTTGTACTCATGGTTTTGCTTTCTGTGGCCTGGGAATAGTAAATGGAAAATTCCAGGAATAAACAATTCATCAGTTTTAAATTGCATGCCATTCTGAATAATGTGATGAAATCTCACTCTTTCCCACTCTTCCCAGTCTGCCTTCAGGAGGGGAATCATTTTGTTGTCCAGTGTGTTTATGCTGTATACACTACCCTCCCATTTGTCTCTTAGTAGTCCCCCCAGATATCAGTTTGAGTGTCATGATATTGCCATGCTTTTTAAAATTCGAGTAATCCTTACATAGTAGCCTAACACTGTGTCCCAATGACTGTACCATTTTTTTTCACTTCATTTCACCGTGTGAACATTATAACATGTTAGATCATCACAAGAATTGTGAGTACAGTATATTTGGAGAGAGATAGTATTCACACAACTACAATTACAGTATATTTTAGAATTCCATTTTATTGTTAGCTATTGTTAATAGCTTCCTGTGCCTAATTTATAAGTTATACTTTATCATAGGTATGTATATTTAGGAATAAACATGGTATTTACAGGATATGATACAATCTGCAGTTTGATACATACACTGGGGTCTCAGGATGTAGCTTCTGCCTTAGGGGACTAATATATTAACTACTCTATGAATTTGGTACAGAGTGAGTCTAGATTTTTAACTAGGCAGTAAATTGCTTGAGGCGTAGTATCAACAGCAAACAGTACAATTGTATTATGTCTTTAGAATAGAGTGTTTTAATATCCAAATGTTCTTGTTGTGATTCTTTCTAAGGTTATAAAAATGGATTTACATGCCTGATTAGAAAACATTCTTGGTGTTGCAGCTGGATGATCTGTGCTGGGGAGATCCCCTCCCACTCCAGCCACTGAGATAATGCCAACAGCTAAGGCACTTCTACCCATAAAAGGAAGGAGAAGATTGTACGTGTAAGTTACAGTACACGAAGCAGAGACCTTTGGTTCTGAGCCCATATTGCTTATGCATGTGTGAAAGAACAAATGCGATTAACTGCATTCTTAGAGATGCAGTGTTGGGGAAAGAGAGTTTCTTTGGTTTTGTGATTTTGCTGTAGTTTGTGGCTAATTGCACATTATGTCCTTCTAGACTCATCGCACATTAATATATAAAGTGATTTATTGCTAATAAGAAACAATAGCATTCTATAGTGTTTCCCAGCACACAAAAGGCTTTCATGCACATTATATAATTTGTGATTTCTTGGAGGTGTTTGGCTAGCACAGATTAGTTTCCTGGGGACCTCTGCTGAATCCTGTTGTCAAGGAGACAGGTAATTTCCTAGATACCTGGTTTCAATGCAAAATTACATTAGAGAGATTTGTGGTGCTAAATAAGCTCAACAAAGTATTTTTAAAGGCTTTCAGAGTGGAGTGAAATTGGACCATGAAAAGAGACTATGAAAACTTTTAAAGAGCTTTCATGGATAATATCATCTTTTTTTAAAAAAACGAAACAAAACATGTTGAAGTCATCTTTCAAGAATGAGATTGAACCCTAAGGTGGAAAAGCAGAGCTGTGTGGGGCCCTTGAGGGTAATGCTTGAGGACTGTATTAATGTATCTTCTCCTTGTTCCCCTAGGAGAGATGCAGCGCCTGCACCTCTGTCTGTCTCTCTTTTTGCACACACACACACACACACACACACACACACACACACACACACACACTCGCACTCACACACACACACTCAAGTAAACACAGCAGTCATTTGTAGCATACTTATTTTCATCTTCCACAAAGTGTCCCTGAAGTTCAAGGTTGGAATACTCATGTTGGAAATACCCTTCCCATTACTGAGCTGATAAGACAGGTATGGAAGATAACCATTACGACTGTGTGAAAAGATTTCCAGGAAACTCCTCAGGTACTACTTTTCCTATAAGTGAAGCACTGTGCAAGGGGTAATGCAGGGATTTTGGGGGACGGTGCTCAGTCTACTGAATGTGACCTTCTGCGTGCCTTTGTAGGTTACTTGAGATGGTGGCAGAAAAGGGTAACGGCTGAACATGTCATGTACACATGTGAGCTTTATGGAGATGATAGAATACAATATGTAATACTAAGGCAGAGCTGTCTGTCAATGGCAGGGGTTTAGCACAGAGAAGATGGGTGTAACCTAATGACAGAGGACAACTGGGCCTAGGCCAATAGGTCCTTTCGGAACCAGTGACCCAGACTGCTGACCTTTGTTCCTACTTCCCAGTGATGCCCAGCCCTCCATGAAGCCTGGAGGGATGACGTGGAGGACCACAGATGACCTGCACTCTGAATTCTAAGGGAAGCAAACCAGAGGGCCACTGAATTGTCCACGATCTTCACACTCTGGTCTGACTCATTCTTGTCACTTGTCACTCAACATGGTAGGTGAGCTGAGAACAGGAGGGACTGTTGATCATTCTGCCTCTTTCCTTGCCCTCTCCTTTGCTCGTTTGTGTTGTCCAGATTCACAGAACTAAGGAGGACAGGAGGTCGAGTGCTTTTGCAAAGAGGTGCAGAAGAGTTTTCGGAAGCATTGCTTTCTTCTGCCTCTGTTCTCTCGAGATTCAGAGTTAACTCAACACCAGGCTGTCCTCATTATGAAGAGGATCCATCCATGCCAGTATCAACTCAGATCCTATGAAGGATAAGGCCTCCACCATGGTGGAAATTGTATAGCAAGGACATCTTCAGACTTCTCAAATCTAAGTCCCTCCTTTTATCTTAATGCGTTTTTTTGAGATGAGGTCTCACTATACTACCTAGGCTGGTTTTAAACTTGTGAGCTAAACAATCCTCCTGCCGTAGGCTCCAAGAAGCTGGCACATTGTAATTCCCTACTAATTCCATGTTTTCTAGTTTAGGATGACCTCCTTGTGTGTGTGCACAGGGAATGTACAACCCAATTTTCATCCCTGAGACATCTATTATGTCGCAGGCCCTAGAAAAGGTCCTATATTTTGTATCAGTATTCTCTCTGATTATAGAAATATAATCAATATTTATTACCAAGTGCCATGTACAGGCACTTGGTATGAGGGAAAGAGGCTCGCCTCCTTTGGAGGACTATCCTGGCAGAGGGGAGAAAGGCAGCTATTCTAGGGGCTATCACGCAGCTAAGAGACAACAGAGGAGGAGCGGGAGGAAAGGTTGGGGATTTTATTGCCTTGAGAGACTGAATGCAACAATACAGATATTTGGACGTAGAATCTGGTGTCTGAAAAACTCCAGTCTTGTTTTTTGGATTTGTGCACGTTTTCCCTTTAAGGACAGTATGTATAAAGGAGGCAGGGGTTTTGGAAGTCAAATGAAAACATCAGTCTTTTTTATTTCAAGGAACACTTAGAGCTTCTCTAATAATATCCAGCTCTTTCCTGTTCAGTGCTTACTGTTCCTAATAGACCAGGACTTGGGTAGTGAAATGATATCATGCAGGCCTGGACTCCAAGGAGCAGGGAATTCCCATGATTATCTTTCTCCCTGGAATATACAGAATCTACTTGTTTCTGCACCCTGATGCTAAAGTGAGACCAAGAGCAGAAGTTTAGGGAGTTATAGAGGAGCCTTGCTGTCTGCAGTAGAACAAGAATTATGATGGATCTTTGTGGAAAAAAGACCAAGGGTCTGGGGCCAGAAGAACCTTGTCCTTGAACAATTGCAGAAGAAATTTACTTAATTTTCTCTTTCCATAGATTTGATAGACATTGCTGCGGGGTGGGCTCACATTATTTTCACAGAATCACTGATTAATTCACCAGAGAAGAAATATACAGTCCTTCTTCATCCTCCACGCATGGCGGCATCGTTTCCATAGCTGAATTTCTATGATTCTCACATATACTATTAAAATATTTCTTGAGTCTGTTTTCCTTGATAAAGGATAAAATTTAAATAGCATCAGCATAAAATTTGGCTTATTGGGAGCTGGTTCTCCAGTTGACACGCCGTTGCCTTGGACCTGTGCTTTTCCCTTCCTGTGGGATTCACCAGGTAGAAGTAATGGAGCGGGAGACGAAAACTTTTCATGCATATACTGAAGATAGCATAGGAATTTTTAAAAAAGGAATGGGAGAATATACACAAAAGAGCTAAAGAAGAACAAACAAAATTTTTCTCGATTAGCATATTATTGATTGTAAGAACCACAAGGAGAAGAAATGTATGTAGGAAATCCTCTAAAGTCACCATTATCAGATACTTTGTTTCCAGGTTGTTGGTGCCTATTTGCAAAGAAGTAGAAAAATATTCTTACCTTCTAATGGGCAAGGGGACCCTTCTGTCTGATGCTTTCTACCTTCCAAATGTTTTACTTTCTGCCCATGGGGGCTCTGAGTTAGCTGCAATTTGTGGGAGTAACCAGACCTTGGCCATTAAAGTGAAGCTAAGTTATTATCATAGACTACTCTTCCTCATTTCCTAAACTGCACATGGGATGGTGAAAGATGGGAAAACTGAGGCAGTGATGGTATCAGGAAGGAAAACTGGATTTACTAGGTTCTTTCGACATGGAAGGCAAGTACAATGTGTTTTTCCAGTTATGTGAATGTGTTGAAAGTTATGCAGCTATTTATTTATACTCCTAATCCCCTTCTACCTTTTTCACATCACCTTAACAAACAACACTTGGATGTCAATTGACATTTTGGAGATCACTCTTGGACCAACATACAGAATTAGACACAATGTGAAGTAATTCCTTTTGCTGTGTGTATATCACTATATTTAAGATTAGTTGGCGATGTAGTTAGGACCAAAGTGACTTGTGGTCTCTTGTATGTGCCTTGAGGTTTGTCATTTGAAGCCCATGACTTTTTCCTAGGTCCAGAAATATCCATTCATTTCTACTTCCTCTGGTACAGAATATTTTTTGTGCAACTAGAATTCAACGTGTAATAACTGGTGAGGTTGGTAAGTGGGACATTTGCCTGATATATAATCCTTCAGAAGATTTGAATGTGTTAAGTGGTGGGCAGTGAATGAAGTGTGAGAGTAACTCAGGGTGGTTCGTGGTCTATAATGTACTAAATCCCAGTGAGACTAGAATGTCTGTTAAAATGATGGGGTACTCAGTACTGTGAAGCCTAGCGGTCCATAGTTGCCATAGTAACCAAGACATCTCCTATAACACCAAAAGTGTGTCAACCTAAGCATCCAAGAAGGAGTATACCCTCCAGCATGGCACATGTGGCCTCTTGAGGTTATATGAAGATCTCAAAATTACATTAATTCTAGAAACAAGGGAATCTTGTCTTTTGAAAACCATTACTTCATATTATAATAGAAATAAACCTGGAGAAAATTTGATGGAGGTTTATTAAACTTTGGAAGCTAAATGTAGTGCTCTTGTGTTGGTGACTTCAGTTCTCTGCATTTAGTTAAGCTGACCTAAATTAATTTGAATACAAAGGAAGAAGGAAGATAGACGTAATCTAAAATATTCTTTAGTCTAATCCTCTATATCCTGTTAAGACTGCACCTAACCAGGTCGACAAGATGGCCATTCTTATGAAAACATTGCAAAGGTTGCAGTGTGTTGGCTCTAGGTTTGAGGCAAATTGTGGTAATTGAGTTGAAGTGAATTCACAAGAAGTTTCCCATTAAAAAAGGGAGAAAGAATAGGTCAAATAAGAAGGGAGTTAGGACAATCTGGGTGTATGAAAAGAAAAAAGAATCTGGGTGTATGGTTTGAGGATAACAAGGCTGAACCCTTCCTTGGTCTTCGAATACATGCAGAGCTGTTATTCTGAGAATAATAATGAGATTTTCTCCATCACTGCTGGGCTCGAGGAAGAGGAAATGGCTCTGATCTGCAGCCGGAGAGCTTTATTCTGTCAAATAGAAATGGCTTGGTATGGAGTATTATTAAGGGGATAAGTGAATGAAATGAATAGAGTGGAACCTCTACAGCAAAGTTTATGCCTAATATTGACATTTAAGATTTAACATCCACTCTCTGTTGCTTTTGAAGAGTTTGGTGAAAAACATGTTTACTATTGAAAATTTTTTAGGGCTTTTTATTGACCAGCTTGAACTATTGCAAATGTCATATGATTCATTTTAGTTGAGGAAAGAAAAATTTAGGGCTCCTTGTGCAAGCGAATCCAATATAAGGGGAGGAGGGAAGCAAGCGCAGGTTCTTTTCTCCTAATCACCTTTCCTTTGACGAGTTTAAAGTGCCCCAGTGTGAGTGTAGATGTGTTAGTGTTCACTATGCCCCTTGCAAGCTGATCAGCTGAAAACCGCTCTGCAGTACTTCCAAAGAAACGAATAGTTACATTTTATAGACATTATTCATAATTCTTAGGAAGTTTATACATGGCACATATTAAGGAGATTACTTGCTTGTTCTTTTTCCTCTCAATTAATCTCATTATCTGAAGAGTACATAATTTAAGGAATTAAGATGTTTTGCTTCTAGGGTATAGCATCAGAAACACAGAGATACTACAAACCCTTAATATAATGAGGAAACCAACTTTATGCTCAGGCAAAGCACTCAGAACTCAAAAATTTGAAATTTTAAAGCAAAACCTTGTGGTTTTATTTATTTATTTATTTATTTATTTATTTATTTATTTATTTATTTATATAGGAGACAGAGTCTCACTATGTAGTCCACACTAATCTTGAATTCATGGTGATCCTCCTGCCTCAGCCTCCCAAGTGCTGGGATTACAGGTATATACCACCAATCCCAGCAACCTTGTGATTTTAAACAAGACCAATATAATCTTTTTCAAGGTATGTTCTTGAGGCTTAGTATATGTCTTTTTAGAATGTGGGGGAATAAAATAATTACAACATAGAAAAATTATCCTGACTAGTCACACAAATGCTAACTTCGATGAAATGCAAGGTTATGAGAATGTGACTCTTGGACATCTTTTATTTATTTACTCATGTACTCAATTATGCAATAAACATTTCTAGATGGGTCTTGTAGCTTCATTCCCACGCATCAGGGCCATAAAATAAGGGAGAGAGAACTTCACTTGCAGCAAGTGTGTAGGGGGAGAATAGCAACGGACAAGTAAATAGGATAAAAACTAAAGAGTAAACAAACAGGTTTTGAAAGAGGATCCAACTTAATCAGGATCGTCTGGCCTCACTGAGGAGTAACACTTCGGTAGATTCAAATCTCAGTCCTGCCGCTTCCTAGCCTCATGATGTTGGAGAAGTTATTTCTCGGAGTTTCAGTTTCCTCACCTGTGAGATGAGGATACCCGTTACCTGGACACAATGTGAAGCTCAAGCGTAACATCAAAGGTAATAATACAGGGCTTGACACCCAGGAAACACTCTACTATTTACTATGAGCTAACTATTATTTGTACTAGTAATACACTAACCATTACTGTCAGTGGATTAGGAACCAATTTTGTTCATTGTGGAGCATTCTGCCCAGGCCTCACAGAATGTTACTTCCCTCTTGTTGGCAAGTTAGGCCGTGTCCTGAGGCCCTGTCTCCCAGTTTGCATGAAGACAGCCTGACCGACTCCAGAGAAAGGCTGGGTCCCCACCAGCAGGAGTGCCTGTCGAGGGGTTGTCCAGATAAGGGCAGCTGACTTCCGGCTGTGCAATTACTGCCTCTTCCAGAATTTACACCCTCTCTCTTTCAGGAACCAGATTCTCTCTCAAGTGGAAGCATTTTTGGACTCCGAGAAAGTGTATTATAGGGAGTTTTTCATTTTTTTTACCCTCCTTTCTCTCAAATGTTAGGTCAAAGTACAAAGCAGAACAGAAGGGTTTGCAGAGGGGAGCAGATGTGTGTTGTTCATTTCATAATCACAAGGCTGGATGGATATGGAAGAGCAATACAGTTTCCAAGAAAGAACTGCAGCAAAAATACCCTCAGGATAGCAGCCTCGTTCTTGTTTCTTTAAGAATCCTTTGCTTCTTCCCTCAAGACTCAATATATCTCCAACTTTCCTTGGAGACCCCTGCGAAGGTCTTACAGTCACACTGCTTGTTTATTTTTATAGGCAGCAGTCCCTGGGGAAGAGCGATCTGCGCGGAAGCAGGCTCTGCCCAAGCTCGAGGCTTTTCTCCCACAGCTGGTTCTCAGTGTACTCAAGTCGGCCTGGCTGCTGTGCGCTGGGACGCCGCATGACCCCCATGAGCCTCCGTCCTGCTGCTCTGCCCTTCCCAGGCCAGCCACTCCCAGCACTTGCTGACTCCCAGCCTCCTGGGTCTCCTTCAGAGTTTCCCTCCATGTCCTAGCCATGGGTACAGATCTTTCTGGAAGGCACCCTGGTTCCTCATTTAGGAATTTGCTAGCCGTTTCCTAGAGATTCGAAAAGCCTTTCCTGTTTGGCATAATCTGCTAGAAACTCTTCAGTCAAGAACTATGATATGGACATTTGTTTTTAAATTGCTTTTACTGCTTGATGGTTGAGTATGGAATTGCTCCTTTTGGCTTCTTTTATAGGCACCTGGATAGCATAAAAAAAGATGTAATGAACTTGCTAAGCTACATTAGTTTGATCTATGTGAATTTATGATATCCAAATAATTTTGAATGACAAAATAGCAGTTTCCCAGGTTCTACCTACTAAGGAATAGCATGGATGTTTGTTGAAATTTGTATTCACAGTTCTTTCTTTTTTCTCTTAAAGGGTCTGATGTAGCAGTCCCAGCTTGGACCCAAGAATCTCCTTTTTGTCTGGTAGTTTTGCTTCCTACCAGGCAAGTTTGGGAAATATAGGTAAAGTATGTCACTTGTAGTTGAATAAATAGTTAATTAAACATGGTACTTAGGGCAGCTTATATGTGTGTATGTAAGTTTGTATTGGATATAAACAATTTCATTTTAGCGACTATGGTGAAGATTACCAAGTGTCAATTTAAATATGTTTGTCCCTTCTTTGGGGACCTAGCTAGCCTTCCTTGCAGTTGCATGTGGCCTATAGTCCAAGTTCTTTCCGAAACAGTGAACAGAAAGTTGGCATACTGTTTGTGGGCCTGGCTTATGCCTCCACTTCCTGTCATCACTCCTCAGTCTTTCCTGTTCTGTTGTCTACATGCAGAGGACCACGAAGTCCTTGGAGCTGACCAAGTTCAAGATGGAGAAACCTAGATCACCAAACGACCAAATGGGGCAGAACTAGCTCACCAACCTAACCACCTTCCCAGGTCTCAGATATGATCAAGAAATAAGATTCTAATAGTTTGATTCACTACATATTTGGATGAGTTTGTTACCATACTCTTGCTCATCTTGTGGTTTGCTACTAGTGTTACCAGAACCTAAGAAGCGTGCTCTTGGCTAGTCTGTTAGGTGGCAGATGGTGGCAGGTTGGGTAGATGAAGCTCTATATTATACTGTGCTGAAGCAGTTTGTGGAACCTGGAGAGTAAGCTTAGCTCTTACTGAGTCCACAGCGCTCTAGGAAAAGGTTAGAATAAACCATAATGTTAGTGTACAGTCATTGTTACTGTATGTGTTTAGCAAGACATTTATAAGAAAAGGAAGAGTGGGGGCTGGGGAATTTAGCTCAGCGGCAAAAGCGCCTGCCTGGCAAGCACGAGGTCCCGGTACCGGAGAAAAAAACCAAAAAAAAAAAAAAAAAAGAAAAGTAAAGGAAGTGCTAAATTGTTGTTTATAGAGCAGAGATCAACAGAACACAAGGATCAGTAACCACATAAGGGCTAAAAATTATTTTTTCCGGATTCCACAAACAGAAGATCTAATTTAAAAAGATTCAAGCAACAGATGCCCACGAAGACTTCTCTGTTAACCCAGGAGTATCTGCTCTGCTCGAAGATGAGACCCAGATGTTGTCCTACCTGAGCCTACTGTTGTACGTGGCCTCTGGGTAGCTGTAGTTGTTTCAGAGCAAAAGGAAGCATGAAAATGAAGCATTTTTAGAAAATATGTACAGGAAGAACATACTACATGAAGCCTAGTAAGTTTTCAAGGGAGTGATATTTCCAAAGAAACTGTAACTTTGGAGTATATACACTTGTGACCGTCACAACTGTCCCCCCAGTACAAAAGAGAAGCAAGCTGAGAGAACTGTGCAGCCCCTGAGAAAGTCGTTCTCTCCAGGGCCCAAGTCAGGTGTGGGCCATGGAGGAAAATCGATAAGGAAGAAGCTTGCGGAGGGCTGATCCAGAACAGTCGAAAATAATGGACAAAAATATTTCTCCCACTGAACAGCATCAAGGTTAATTCAAGGACTTTTCCCACTGCCAGGGCAGGGCGTCTTCTCAGTGCTTGTTATTGCTATGCGTCTCTCCTTCCTCTCCTTCTGAAAAGATGTTTGAACATTTTGGTAAGTCATTCTACTCCTCTTGTCTTACCATTGTTTAAGGGGTGATTGTGTTTATGGGCTAGATAATTGGTCTTATACTGGGCCATGAGGAATTGCATCTAGTTCAATGGAGAGCCTGGTGCTCATGTAGGACTTTGGGGTGGTGGCATCCACAGTGGAACTCTGGATGATCCCTCTGGGGAAATGCGTGAATTTGCTTTACCTGTGGGGGAAGTGGGTAAGGACATTTGGATGGAAAGATTGCAGAAGAGATTGCTCATTTCCATCCAAATCCATTCTTTCTTCTTTTGGACACAAAGGTGGGCATTTTTCTCAGCTCCCTCAGAGTGAGGTGTGGCCTTGTGACTAAGTTATCTGCTGGGCAGAGTGACTGGAAATGATGACTGTCACTTCCAGGCCTGGCCCATGACTGTCCCTTCAAGTTTTTCATAATCTTTCTCATTATGCTCGATGGATGCAGTTAATGATGAGATCCTCAAAGATGGTTCGGTCACAAGACAGAAGGAGCCTGGGTCTCTCAGTAACCACCTGGAGCAAAGCAGCCCTATTGACTTGGATCCTGCACCAGGAACATAACAATAGCAAGGAATACCTGCCAGTGCCTTAATCCCTTAAGTGTTCGTATCTATTTATTATAGCAGGTTGGCATACCCTAACGGTGGCTTTTAAATAAATGTCATTAATTATAAACCTACACACTGCTTATATTACTTATTATTTTATAGTCTTCACTTACTTCATTACAAACAATTTGTCTCTGAGAAAATTGATTAATATCTTTCTGTCCTGGTTTCATCATCAGTAAAAGTGAGAAAGTAATAGCATCTCATAGGATCATTGTGAGTAGGCAAAGAACTGATCTATGAAGATAGTTCAATATGTATGGGGCCCTAGGTTCAATCCCTGGTACCACCAAAAAAGAGAAAAAAAGAACCAAGAAAACACTTTGAATATGCTGGAATCACAGCAAGGAGCATGGAAGCATATAGCTTGTACTACTGTTGTCCACACGGCTTCTAGCAGTGGTCCAGTTTCATGACTCCCACCACCACATCGCTATAGGAACACACGTGGCCTCAGTGAATTTGACAATGCAACTAGGAACACCGTGGCTAAAAGCTGCATTGTGAACCAAAGTAAAGTGCCCAGTGAACACACATGGATCATGTCCTTTTGTTTTGTGAAAATTGGGCACAACCAAAAAGTTGGTGGGCTTCGGAGTATTCAGGGAGAGTGCCAGGCCAGCCTGTGATTCAGCATCGGTGCCTATAAAATTCATGATGGGATTTACCCTGTGTTATCCCTGAAAAATTAACTCCTTGGTTTCTGTAAGCAACCCAGAAGGGGTCATGGACTTTTGTTGGTGGGAAGTACATTTTCAGTCACAGGAGAGCTTATCTTTACATGAGGGCAGGCCCTCTATGGATCCTTGTGGGTCTCATGCTCAGAATGAATGAGGGAGGCGGTTTCTGCTGAATTTTCTCACCTGCCTTTCCTTGAGTGGTCTTGTTTGTCACCTGCCTCCACGTTGCCTTTGAAACAGGCCAACTGCAGGATACCCAAGAACCTAGACAGCCAAGATCTTAAGGCATCTCAGAACCAAATTTACTATTCATCCCACAGGAAGAAGGAGAGATAGTTGATTTTGAAAAAGCTATCCCAGAATATACAGTGTCTGAAACCCAGCTGCAGTGGGCATTAGCTAGACGACTGATGACTTTCCTACCCTGCACAGTACAGGGAGCCATGGAGCCTGGGAGCCAGATGCCGAGTTAACAGTTTTGTTTAGGGGAACCCATTTGCTGGGCCTGAGCTGTCTGCAGCCCTTGGTGTGCTGCTGGCTACAGTGGGGATGCAGGGGTCGTGGGCAGTAGAGGCAGTTTCCAGCCCTGGCGCAGGCCTTTCTTATGGTACTCTCATCATATATGCCTACTTTTCTTTTCCTGCTGTTTATTAGTGTTTCTTTCTCACTCCCAGAAGAGAAGGCCACAATTTACCCTCTCTCTAGTACATCTGGCTTTGAGAGCAGTTTGTCCCCTCCTCCCCTGCCACAGAGGCTCCAGGGAGCTGGCCAGTCCAGGTCTCAGGGTGCAGACTGCAGGGGGCGCTGTCTGTACGCTTCCTGCCATCGGGTCTGCAGTGTGTCCTCCCAGAGTCTACAAAAAGCAGTACCTGCACATCACACCACCACAAAAGGAGATACCGGGGTATAAGAAACCTACAGGATTTTGGGTTTTCCAGCAGAGAAACAGTGAGCCACTTTTGTTTCCCTCTTTTATGACTTCTTGTGTATTTTTTATCTAAGGTTAAGAATGTGGTGATTTGCTTTATGCTCCCATGAGAGTTGCTTTAGGTTTTCTTGCGGCTGACAGAGAAAGAAATATCCCTTCTTTTTGTAGACTCTTAGGAGTCTTCAGGAAGAGCCAAAGAAACTGCTGAGTAAAATTTCCCAAATGGACAGAGCTATGTCACAGCTCTCTACAAGCCGGGGACTTGGTCTTTATTCACAGTTTACTTTTATATTGCCTCTCCCCCACTTTGGATTGGACCTGTTTCCCCTCCTTCACTCCCACATCCCACTCTGGCCACTGTGGATGTGACGAGTCTAACCCAGGCTGACTGCCACTCAGTGGGTGGAAAAAGTTAGAACTGACTATCAGTTCTCTGTGCAAACCATTTCCTTTTACATCTCATTCAGCTGATAGAAATGCTCGATTCTTCTCTTTTCCCTGAATTGTGTGAATTTCCTGCATAGGTCACCTGGGTTTGCAAATATTGGTTTAAAATGAATTTCCAAATTTGATGGATTTTGACAAAAAGTTCTAGGAGAAATGAGCGTTGGAAGAAAGACCCTTAGACAAAACACATTTCAATATAGAAGATGAGGGAGATGGTAAATCAAGTATATCGTAAACAGGTTTCAACTGGAACTGGCTTATTTCACACATCCATGTACACTAACATGAATCATGCATACAATCTGACCAATGCACAACTCAGCTAAAATCAAATGCAAGTTTTATCTTTATGTCATATTTCATGTGAAGTTTTAGTTGATAAGAATATTTTACCACTAAATAGTCTGCTACAAAACCCAAAGCTAACGATGTGAAAGTTCTAGGATATCTTGAGTCTTCCCTGGAAGTGGGGTAGCAAGGAGGGTCCAGAGATATTTCTTAGATGTACTTGTAACAAACATGCCTTCATCACATTGCCCCCACCATTCAGTTCCAGCCCTCAGTTAAGCTGGGGTTACTCTGGAATGTGCTCTGCAATGAGAACTGCAAGTGTTTGAGATGGCCACACCACATTTAGGGCAGCTTTTAAATGTAAGGCAAGGGAGGAATATCCCAAGTGATATTTGTACACTATAGAGCTATACTATTCAATAGATGTGGCACTGTTCAGTTAGGTCAAGACAACTTAATATCCAGTACAATTACAGTAGAGATTATCTGCTGTTCACAATTATCTAAAATGTGAACAAAGGGGCTGGGGTTTTAGCTCAGTGGCACAGCACCTGCCTGGCAAGCGCAAGGTCATGAGTTCAATTCCCGGTACCAGAAAAAAAACCAAAAACCCAAAAAAAACAAAAAAACCCAAAAAAAACCCAAATAAAATGTGAACAAAATAGTTAAAAATATAATACACATAATACATATTTTACATATTCATTCCTAAACAGATAACCTATTGGACCAGCAATTTGTTCATTTATTCCTCAAAATTTTAATGGACTAAGACCTACCTAAATTCTGAAGGGACAAAGGTAATTAAGATAAATTAATTTGTTTTATTCAGTAATTACTGAGAGTCTACTACATGACAGGTTCTGCTTTTAGAAGCTAAGAAGGGCGTATAAATATCTAATGTGATGTAGTGGTAAAGTGTTGGGAAGAGAGACACGTAAATACAAGGTCAGAAGAGAGTATGGTGTGTGTGTTTGTGTGTGTATGTGTGCATGCGTGCGGGCATGCACATGTGTTAAATAATGTAGTCACGTGACGCTAAGGAGGATGTGGGGGAAATGTTAGGCTAGGGCAAGAGCAAGCGCAACATCTTGAAGGAAGGAGTTGGGTGTGTTTCAGAAACAGCAAGATGGCAGCTGTGGCTACAACGGAAATACGGAAGAGGGGAGTCAGGAGACAAAGTGGGAGAGGAACAGAGACAAAGTCATGGAGTGCCTTGCATGTGATGATGAAGGGCGGGGTCTGAGTGTTAGAGGAAGCTATGGGCGGAGCTGTGACCATGGTATTTCTCTGCTGGAGGACTGACTACATAGCTGTCAGGATTGGAAGTAGGGGTTGGGTTACGGGAGATGACGGTGGTTCACCCAGGAGAAATGTCCGTGTTGGTGATGGCGAGTGGTGAAGTTGGGGATGGACTGTGTGTCGAATGTTGAGCTGATTTTGGAGAAGAAAAGGATAATTACTAATCTTTTGACTTTTTTTTGAGACAGGGACTTGCTATGCAGCTCAGGTTGGTCTTAAGTTCACTTTGTAGCTCAGGTTGTTCTTGAACTCTCAACGATCCTCCTGCCTCAGCCTCCCCAGTGCTGGGATTACAGGTGTTCGCCATCACGCCCTGCTACTAATGTTTTGAATGGGGAGGGAGAGAGTGCTGTCAGAGAAAGGCATGAGTCAAAGATAGCACCACAGTTTCTGTTTTCAGTCACTCAAAGAAGGTGATGGTCATGTCCTTAGATAGGGAGGACCAAGAAAAGAGTGCATTGGAGGAATTAAAATCTTGTTAGGACAAATTAGTTCGAATGTTAGACATCTACAAGGGTGGTTGACTATATGAGTGTTTGGAGGTTTTGGGAGGTAGAGATATAAATTATCAGTATGTAAATAATATTTCAAGCCTGAGACCAGATACAATTAGCCAGGACATGAACTCTAATGAGGAAAAGGATGGAGGGATGGAACGGTGAGATGGTTGGATGAGATAAAGGAAGTGGACAGAGGAAGTGGAGAGAGATTCACTCATGGGTGGAATAAAACCAGGAGAATGTGGTACCTCAGAAAGCAGGTGAAAAAAATGTCTAAGGGAAGCCTTTAAAATAGCTTCTAAGAGTGCAAGAAGAGGACTGGATTGGGCAAGGTATAGACCCTTCTGTTAAGGAGCTCACAGCACAGTAGGAACGGGAAGATAAGGAAACACATACATTGTCACACCATCGTGTGTGGTGCACCCTAGGGATATAAACATATTTCTGGAGATGGATTGGACATAGGGCAAGGAGCTCTCTTAGAGAGGTAAGGAAAGCTACTCAGGGATACACAGTACTTTTGGAACCTGTTATTTAGGAGGAAGGGATAAAAGCAAAATTCATAAAACTTTAAAAACCTTGGATTTTTTAATTTGGTTGTTGATTTTTCTGCCTCTACTCATAAAAAAACCAAATATTTCCCTGCTTAAGTTAACATCCTACTACTATTACTCCATGAGGACATAGTTGTTAATTATCAATATACTGCTAACTATTTCATAAGCACAATAATACACTTCTAGAGGATACTGTTGGAATTATATTTTTCCTTGTTGCATTCTTTATCTTTTAATTATATTTTAATTCATTTTCATACTTGTATGCAAGTGTACAGACATATTCTTAATAATAACAGCTACCAAAAAGCCTAATGCTTATCCCATATGAGGCAGTGAAAACTTTACCTACATTAGTTCATTTTGTTCTCATGAACGGCTCAAATAGTTCAGGTACCTTTACTGTGCTTGTTTTTACTTTGGTATAAGAGGCCTAGAAAGGTTAAGTAACTTGTTCAGAGGAACAGACAGTGGTAGAACTAGAATTAAAACTGGGTTGTCTGGCTTCTGAGTTTCATCATGTTGAGTAATATTCTGTACTTCCATCCTTACTACTGTACATCTACTTTCCTGGGGTGAGTAGTTACTCATGAAATATCTCAAAGGAGATTTGAAGGCTTTGACCTCATTGCAATTTTCTAAAGACTCAGAAGCCTAACTGCAGGTAGTCTTTTCCAAACTGGCCAGAGGGACCAAGGAAGGATACTGAGTCAAAGTGGAAAAGAGACATTTGATTCTTTTACAATTAAGTGCAGACTCTCACTTAATACCTGGTGGATTTGTGTTCAGCCAGAGCATAGATGAGGAGTGTGCGGGTGGGTGCAGTTGGTGTCTTGTGATGGAGAATACCCCTCTGCTAACAGAAATGAGCACTTCATTATGACCCTAGAGGTATGTGGCTCATGTTCTCTGTCCCTTCTAACCTCATTGATGCACATGAGATGACCATGTACTTGAAAAGATATGAGGTGAAAATCAAGGCAACCATGTTTAGAAATGCCTACTATGTGCAAAGAATTGCTCTCAGTGCAGTGGCTGTGATTCCCTGGAGGCTAAAATCATACGGTAGGCAAAGTCCTTGAGATAGTTGATGCTCAAAGTGTGTAGCAAATTGACATGTAAAATAATTTAATGGTAGCAGAGTTTACCTGTGCTTTAGCCTTGGTTTGCTCTCTAATGTTTTTAAAATATCAGCTGACTTTATTTCTACACCCAGGTTTACTCTCTTCTTGGTACCATGTGAGTGGTTCACTGAAGAGGTGGAGATTCAGATATATAACTTTCTCAACATTTGTAGTTTCTCCCTTTAGTAGATCTTGAGTTCCACATTTGATCTAAAAGCTTTTAAAAATAAAACACCAGTCATGTTTCCTTTCCTGGCAGAAAGAAAATGTAGAATAAATAACTTTTGCTATGATGTGTTTGGGACCGGAATCATAGGAACTTTCCCAAGGCAGAGAGCCATAAATTTTATAATTTTTTTTTCTCAAAAGAAAAGTCTATCTGCACTTTTCCTTATTCTTTTCTCATTAAAATGTTCTTCTCTGGGCATAGTTGCTGTTTTCAGGAAAGCTTAGGGGATCCAGTGTCCAAATGTGCTCATAATTTCTACAAATATACAAAATATACCAGGAAATGGATACCATACTCTCTGTGGTTCTCTCCTTGTCTGCTGTGTAATATTGTCGCCAACCATACACACACAGAAGGAAGGAAGACCTAGGTGAATATCCAGCTTTGGAAAAGAAACTACTTCCCGTAGGAGGAGGACTTCAACTGGTCACCGAGCAAAGTAAACACTCATGTTGGCTTCCTGTGGGCCATTTCCTCTTTGCTGATCCTGATCCCAAGCCAAGGTGAAGAAAGAGAAATTTCCTCTTACAAAACAGATCTCTGATAACTCACCATCCTAATCACTAAGTCCAATGCCAGTTATAAAATTTAGGTTGCTGTACACTTGAAGGATTTCATGAATTTGCATGTGAGAAAATAAGATTTCTTTTTGAAAGTAGGACACAAAGTCAGAGTCAAAATGGGAAAACTTAGATAAACGTATCATACTGACAAGTACACCTATAAACTTTAGAACATTTGAAAACCAGAAGTGCACTGAAAGGAGGACGTTCTGACTATAGTATCTTACTGTCATTCTTTCCACTGTCCTGGGCTCAATTTTGTCCTTTTCGGACATACTTTAAAATGATTCAGATCTTATTTGTATTTGTAATTTTACTTTAAAAAAATACATCAATTAAAAATGTTTCTTTTAATGTCAAATACAGACTGTCTAACGGATATTTAAAAACTTTTTAATGCTTTTATCCATACTGACAACCCCAGGAGAATGAAAGCTCAGTAATTCAGCATCATGTGTCATAGAAAAAAAATAAGTATTTTATATATTAATCTTAGCATTTTCATTTGTGATAAAAGCAGCATGAAGAGGATAGGTTAAATGTGGCAAGAATTTTTTTTTAATCAGTGGTGTGTCTAGTGGTTTTTTTGTTCTTTTTTGATAGGAAAGAATTGTAATGCAAGTACAGTACATTTTAAAATGTTCACAATAAAAAGCTGGTGATATTTCAGGCATATTTTGAGTAACATCTCTGGCCCCAAAGTTTAGAGGACAGTTCAGGGTACTTTTCCAAGATTCAAGGTACTTTCTTTTGCTTTGAAGGGGAAAGGGTGCTATAATACCAACGGAGGTACAAATGCTTATCTCTACAATTCTGGCAAAGCCACATTATACCCACCTACCTGGTGACTGCCAGGCCCGTACCAAGTCCTGACATTTCCACTAAGCCAGGCCCTCCTGAGCTTGGGCGGTCACCTCTCTGCGCGCCGGGACACAGAGCGCTGGGACGCTTGTGCTTACCTGCGTAGTGGTCAAACACGGTGGGCACGTACTCCTCAGGGAAGGCGTCATTGGCGTAGCTCATCAGCAGGCAGGTCTTCCCCACGGCACCGTCCCCAACCACCACACACTTCAGCATCTTCTTCTCGTTGTCTTGGCCACCACCGCAGCTGCAGCTGCTGTCATTTTCCTCTTTGCAGTTCATTCTTGCGGCTCCAGATGCTGGAACTGCTGCTGCTTCCAGAGCACGTGAAGTGGTGGGAAGTGAGCCGCAGGCTGGAGCTCGCTCTGCCTTCCTCTGGCTACCTTAGATCACATAGGCGAGTCCCAGGCCGGTGTAGGCTCCGTCGCTTACCATCCTGGCAGAGAAAGGACGTGCACACTCGGGGACATGGTGAGAAGGGTCTGTCCCAGTTCCCTATTACTTTCAGCTAGGAAATCCTCATTTCCGCAGAATTCTGGAGCAGTCCAGGCAGATTAGAAATTTCAGGAGCCTGAGGGCTTCATGCTACTCTCCCCATTCCCAGCCTGGCTTGAGACACAGGGGAATTTTACTAAATCTTCCCCATTTCCCACTGCATATCTAACATGGAGGAAAGCTGGGCTTTTTAATGGAGTTTCCCCCTTGCTTCCTCCAGCTCGCAGAGTGTCAGGAAATCATGGGTTTCCTGCCGCATTCCATATTAGGATCAGTGGGCTGGGGAAGGCTGCAACAATGGGAGCTCTGTGTGTGTATGTGTGTGTGTGTTTGTGCTTCTGGGGAACGATGCCAGGACCTGGAGTGGGAAAACACTAGGGGTCCCTCTGCAGACTCAAGCTGTCAGACTTCCTGTCCCACCCGCTGTGGGGAGGCCGCGCGCTTGTGGCTGGGCTGGAAAGAAGCAGAGAGGGTGGGAAGAGGGGAGGACTGCCTGCCGCGGAAAGAGAGGGAAGGGTTTGGGTGGGCAGAGACAGCCACCCCGGCAACTGTAGGATAACATATGACATCATCCCTCTCTGAGTCACCAGTTAAACTCTGCAAACTAAAAGCGGGCAGTTTTCTACTTACTTCAAGGAGAAATCGCAAGTGATTCTTTTCTGCAACGAAGAAGAAAACCTTCTGGAGTTACAGTGTTTTCCAAGGGAAATTTTTCTGTAGGTCGTAGGTATAATGTGTGTGATCAGGTTCACAAGCAGTTGAACACACTGCTCAAGCATGGGTTTGGGATACAAACTTGTTTTTAATGGTTGTAGTACATAAGAAATCAATCAGATGCCGGGCGTTTGTGTTTTATTAGTAAATAAACACATATGCCAGCTCACACTTAACTCTGGTGGAAATGCGAGGACACAGAATGGCTTTTTGGTTTGTTTAAGGTCCCCACTGCAGTTTTTGCTCAGGTATTTCCCTTTTTGATTAACTCCTCTTGCCTTGGGTCAACCCGGCCCTCTTCAATTACAGAGGAGCCACTGGCAGCTAATTTATTTGTCTACTGGCTCCCTCCAAAGGAAGCCCCTTTGAAGTTCTGCATTTGATTAATGTACTTGGTCTTGGAGAAGAAGTGGAACTCTGTAAATGTTTTTGACGAATGAGTTAACATGGGGGAACTCTTTCTCTTTGGGATTTTGAGAAATGCAGATTATCCAATTGCTTTGAGTTTTTCTGGGGGAGGGGGGAGGGAGAAAAGTGTGTTTTCGTAAGTGGCTATCAGATACATATATGTATCCCACATATCATATTTATGCCAACACGTAATAGATACAGTCCCAAATTTCTTTTGCTTTGTGTTAATTTTTGCCATAATGCTTAGTGCCCCAATATTTCTTTCCTGCATTGGAACAGTGTTTCAGTTAAGTTGTGGTGAATCAACTAGGTTATTCTGCAGCAACAAACAATTTCCAAAGCTCAGTGATTCAAAATGGCATACATACTTCTTGTTCACCTTGTCTCTGTTGTGTCTGTGTCATCTCCAGGGTTGCAGGCTGACAACACTGACGAGTGCTGTGGCAGACGAAGAAATGAATGCGAGGAGCAGGCGCTGACTCTTGCAGCCTCCTCCTGGAAGTCACCCCTCTGCTCACAGTAGCCAAAGCCAGTTGTACACCCCCATCGGGGTGTCCAGGAGAATCCGAGGTATAACCTTGCCATGCGCTGGAAAGAGGAAGCCAATCATTGTTAAACAGCCTGAATGGGACCACCAGACATAGTTTAATTGACATTGTATTTGTCATATGAAAGCAGAATGGTTTATGTTTAGCGCAATTTTGAAGCATTTGAAGATATCTATGACTTTGTCTGATTTATATACTTTTATTTTCATTCAGTCTACCTGGGAGACCTGGAATATACAATCATAAAGTTGCAACTGGAAAATTTATATTTTACTTCTTAAAAAAGAGGCTCAAGTATGAAGATAGCAACCAAACAAGTCTGAGCAGGTGAAGGAGTTGCTGGCATTGCCAAGAATCCCTCTGAAGATGACCAGGACCCCCGAGCACAATGTAGTGACATGCGTTTTGCAGAGCTTTGAGGGGTTCTTCTTGTGATCTTATCCTTGGCATGAGCAGTAAAGGCGGGATGGTACATGATTAGCAGAGTTTTCAAACACAGGGCTGGTCCCTTAAAAGGCTGGTTCCCTAAAAGCCCGTATTTCTCACTATAAGGCTGGTCCACCAAGCATGTGGCCTAGGATAAAGCTGAGCAACAGGACTGAGTGAAATTCTGCCATATATCCCTAACCCTTGGATCATCAGTTATGGTACTAAGCCCATTCTGAGGGGTATAGGGACCATGGCTCGAGACATTTAAGACTTGAAGCTCACTCAAAGGTTTGGTACACTTGCCAGATTGGATTTTATGCAAAGATGATTTATGGCCTTGGAGAATATTGCTTTTAGTTCACAAAATAATCTTGTTTCTTCAGTGTTTGCTGCTCCATAAATTTAAAATTTATGGAGAAAAAATTTTGAGACATCTTAGTAAAAGTGGCAAAAAAGTTAAAACTTTCATCTCAGCTTGCAGATTAAGTAGATCACAGGCTTATGTGAGAATAAATATTTTAAAATATGAAAATATTCAAATATCAAAAGACTGACATGAACAAGAATAAAAAAATCTTAAAAACAATTCAGCATTTTTCTTATAGATCTAGGAGTCCATAGAATTGTTTGCTTGCCCAGGTAGGATGGTGAAGAATATACTTTGATTCTGAAGGTTCACGTGTAGAACTCTGGAAGTGGTAGGATGGCTGATGCCTTAAATATTTTGCTCCAGCTGCCTGTACTTTTGGGTCTTAGGCCATGTAAATGATTGAGCTGTGGTTACATAGCCATTAATTATTTGGTTTACCTCACCACCAAGTTTATATAAACTTACCAGCACATGGTGAAATACAGTTGGGTAATATTTTCTGCCTCTTCCAAGAGATCTTAATTTCCTGGCTCCTTTTTGTGCTTGGAGCCTTGACTTCACACACATTTCCCCAAATGGCAGCAGGGCACTTTTTTGCACAAAGTTTTGACTCCTCTGATTGTTTCCAGTTTTACTGTGACTTTAATAGAAGACTTTACCTTTCTCTTCTTCCCTTTCCTTTCCCTTCCTTCCTTTCCCTTTTGCTCTTTCCCTTTCCCTTCCCTGTCTCTATTCTCGTCTCCTTCCTCCTTCATAAATCATTTCCATTCCAGACAAAGTCCTTTCTGGGGCTATTCGTGAAGTCAGATCTGTAGTGGGGGTGGGTATGGGGCAGTGCTGTTATGGTTTGTGTCTGGATGTCTCCCCAAAGCCTCATGCAGTCACAGAGGGGCCTTCTAGAGTTTATGATTGATTCATGGTCCAATACTGGGATTATAAGTGTGAGTGCTACACCTGCTGTGGGACAGGTCGCTTGTGTACTATATAAGGAAGGGAAAGAGGTTTGTTCTCTGCTTCTCCTCCCTTTTTGCTGTTTTCTGCGGCCATGAACTGTTGCCCTCTGCCCTGTGCCACCCTGTCTTGGAGCCAGCTGAGTATGGACTGAAACCTCCACAAACTGTGAGCTAAAATAAACCTTTCCTTCTTTCATTTTGGGTATCAGGTCTTTCGTCTCAGCAACCAGAAAAAAGTGACTAAGACAGGTGCTATGTAGTCCTAAGGATGCTGACCCAAATCTATGGAGCCTAAATCTCAGGCTCACAGGGGATGCTAAAACTGAGCAAGCTGTCCTAGGACTCGCCTGGACTGGAACTGCCCCTCCCCTGGGGGTGAGTGTGCTATCAGTGATGCTCATGTGTCTGTTTTTCATGTGTTGGGTCACCTGCACTCTGCCTCTGCATGTTGCTCAAGCAACATCCCAACATGTAGTGCCTTATCATATCAGCCACACTTTCTTGGATCTAATCTTTTTATAATTCCAGAAATGGCTTATATTTCCTGCTTAGAGGTGTCTCTTTTTCCTCCTCATCTCTTAATTCCAAGAGAAGTGGGTTACTTGCAAATGAAAGGCAGACAGGGCTTCTTTCAGTACTAGCAAAGGCCTCTTGGCCAGTAATGATGAAGCGGTGTGTGTGTGTGTGTGTGTGTGTGCGCGCGTGCATGTGTGTGTGCACATTTCTTGAGTATTTCACTACTGCACAGTTTAACTCTGAATACTAAACCTTGCCTTGGAGGAAGGGAGTCTTGTGTGTTATCTGATTTTTTAAAAATTGGTCTCTATCTATAGAAACCAGATATGAAGGACCATTCAAATTCCTCGTACCCAGAAAATATGGAGTTATAGCATAGTTTGGAGAGATATTTTTCCCCAGTAATTCCTGATCTCCCAGACTGGAGAGGTGTGCTGGAAGGCAGAACATTTGAGGTTGATTTTGTGCTGGATTGTTCCTGGAACAAGGGCGCAGAGCTGGAAATAGCTTGTGGAAATGACCACCTTGGAGTCAAACAAAGATCTTTGGTGACTACTTTGGCTAGTTAGGGACATGGTTCTCAATATAGCTATTGGACTGGCCATTGTCTGGGTGGGCAACTTTCACTATGACAGGGTGGGTGTGGGGCTGTACCACAGTCCACCACTGTTCCTTTTTGTATCTGAGCTATATGAGAGTGAGAAAGATTGGTGGAAAGTTTTCACTGCTGGTATAAAAACAGCTCAAAGTTGTCCTTGGTTTCAGATGCATGGGTAACATCAATGTCATATAAAAAATTGATACACAGAATAAAGAATTAAAGGAATCTCAAAAAAATACTACAGGAAATTCAGCTCTGTTGTATAGAGGGGTGCAGTCTAGTTATTGTGACTGGAATAAACATAGCAAGGGACTTCCTGAGAGCCTGCAGTTTACTGACCAAACCCCTGTGGGTGAAACCCTAAATGCAGAAGAAAGTACAGTTCTACCTTGTGAACAGAACGTGTCTGTTCAGACTGCCTGAACTGCTCATTGACTAATTCATCTTTACTTAGGAATCATCTGCATCAGAAGAAAGAGCATCACAAAGACTTCCAGGGTTGACACGAGACCATACCTCAAAAGTCAGATTCAGTGCTGGTCCGTGATAGGGACTGGAAGGAAGAAGACTTGGGAACTAAGCCTCAGTGGGATGAGTGGAAGAAGGCGTTAAGGCAAGAAAATATCTTCAAACAAATCTATCAAAACCCAAGCACAGAAGAAGGAAGAGAGGGAAAATCGTCTGATTGTCATCACAGGAGTCATTGTATGAGAGAATGCATAGCTTTCAAATTAAGTGTCCCAGAAAAGACTTACCTTATAGTCAAGATAGGGAATTCTTGCAAAGTGTTTGTTTTCCAGATAATGTTATGAAATTTCCCTTTTTATTGTTTTTCTATTCACTATTGTGTTTTCTATTCACTATTGTGTTTTATTGCATCTGGGTTTAGTAGTGGTT